TATTCTCATTTGGGTTTCTCCTTTCAGTGGACGCCGCCCAACTTAAGTGTACCTATCTTAAATTTGGTGGACAAGATTTTTCAACTGAACAGAAGAGGCTGGCTAAGGTAACAACAACATGTTTTGTACTTCTCTACTTCCCATCCCATCCCCTCCTGGTATCAAATTTAGAGTTGTTTTCCTACATTTAACTTCTCCTTGATAGTTTCATTATTGAATCAGTTTCATCATCCATGTTTAACATTTTCATGCTTAATTTGGTTCCTAAAAATGATTTAGAAGGGTCGATATAATATTTGTTATGAAATTATGCCAAAATTACAAACTTGCCATCCTGAAAAGCTGAACTATTAAAGTATGGACATTCTTCGCATGGGAATACATGAAGGAGAGAAGGAGATGATCCAGGATTTCACAAATTTAGACATAGTTTCAACAAAATTGTAACAATATCTAAATGTCCTCGCCACCTCATCAAAGATTGGTCCTTTTTGGGGCTTTCACCATAAATCCACAATTCCGAATTTTTTCTTCCCTCCCCTACATCACCCAAACTTCGTTCAGTAGTGGGAAAAGGGGAAAGAGTAGCCATGGTTCTTCTCTAAAATTTCAAGTTATTTTCCTTTTGCATCTTTTGTCTTCTTCCAACATTTACAGTGCCATTAATGGAGGTAAGAATTAATATACTTCCATTTTGTTGATCAGATTATGGTAAATATACTTTTTGCCTTTCTCGATGGGTGTTTATGCCCAGCGATCAGATTAAGAATTTCCATTTGTAGATTTGCTTTTCTGCCTTTAAGAATTTCCAGTGAGCTGAATTCAATGAATGTACAAAAGAAGTATTAAATTGAATAAAATCTCTATCTTGGTGGATCCTGATTGCTCATTGTTCATGATTTACTCTGTACTCAGAAATACCAAATTATTGACAAACTCCTTTCTTTTGATTGTTTGAGAAATACCAAAGAACGAAGAGAAAGGAATGAAGCTACCGATCTGGAAAATAAAAAGTATGGACATTTAGGTGAATTGGGGGATTTATGGTGAAAGACCAAAAAAAAAAACCCCAAAAGAGTAATATTAATGAGATGGCAAGGACATTTAAGGAAATTAGAAAATGGGGAGGGTGTAACCTATAACACACCTATGCAGTAGGTTAGCAAAACCCTGCATGGAAGGTATCTTGTACGCGTATTATTCCCATGACATGGCATCATTAATGAGCATCTAACTAAGCCATTGTTGTTTGCGCAGAAGACAGGTATTTTGGATATCAAAGGAAATTATGCAGTTAATGATGGAGGATGCTATTGATGATTGGCTGTTGAGGCAAATTCATTGGCTACGGAGAGATGATGTTATTGCTCTGGGAATAAAATGGATTCAAGATGTAAGCATTTAGTTTTCTGATTGTAACTTTTCCATCTTACTTGCTTACCTTCGAAGCAAATTTTTCTTGGCTTCTGCTTCTGGAGTTACAGTATTTGCAGATTGCATTAACTAAATGACAAATGGAAAATAACTCTTGATTGCTGAAGAGAAATAGTTTGGAATTACAAAAAAAGACAATGGTGCAGAGTCCCTACTTAGCAAACTTTAGTTCAGGTTCCTTTTTTAGGATTTTTGACATGTTATACCTCTAATCTTTTTTACAACACTAGATTTCCTCCTTGAGAGTTCTTCATAAAATAAATGCATGTGCCAATTCATCTATGTTTATAATTTGATCTTTGATCATTGATGTAATAAATTTAATTATTTTAATATTGTTCATTTAGTATGACACTTAAGCTAATTCCGTTCCTTATTAGATTTCAAAGTCTGCCATCTACAATTGCTGCACTTGTGTAGATAGTATTTCTTACATATATATTTATTTTGAACTTGTGGCACATGTGAAAATAGATAGAAAGACATCAGCATTTGGAGATTAGTGTCAGGGGAAAGAATATTAATATGTGCTGCAACATAAAATGTTAAATTTGTATGCACTTTTATATTCGTCGGTGGCGTCATAGAAGGTAGTTTCTTTTTTCTTTGTTTGAGAAATTAGCTTTATAATTTGGTTTATTCAACTAATATAATGGAGCATGCCATACTCATAACGTATGGAACTTGACTAATATCATCTTGATTTCTTTGGTTGTGGGCTGTCTCCCGACTTTCTTATGTGTCATCATTGTGCTACTTTAAGATTAAAAAATGAAGAAATTATGCAGAAGGATTATTTGGAAGTGACTTTTTGGTTCTGTTGCTGATTGCATTCCTAGGTTCTCTGGCCCAATGGCACTTTCTTCATAAAATTAAGAAATATTGTTGAAACCAGCAACGAACCAAATCAAGGATCTGTTCATAGCACGAAACAATCTGGAGGAAGTAAGGTCTCTAAGGCAGGATCTTTTGAGGAGCAGCTTGAGGCTACTCGTAGGGCAAGTGATGTGAAAAAGATGCTCTATGGTAAGTGTGGCTCTCGATTGTGCTTGATTGCCAACATTACTTCTTACCTATTTTATGAAATGGAAGTTCCTTAAAATAAGATTTTTCCATGATTTTTCTATTGTTCATTTATGTAATTGACTGCAAAAGTCATGAATTTATTCATGTCCCATTATTGCTTCTTTTTGAATTGTTTTCAAACTGTACTACGTTTTCGTGGCCTGTAACAGTTGTCTAGAAGCTATTATTTTCTGGGGAGTAGATGTCTTACACTATTAGTTCACACACAAGTTCCATGCTTCCACTGGGGGTAGTTCATGTTCATTTAGGTTGGGTTGTCTGTTCGATTTCACCAAAACCAATTTGACCCTGTGCTTTCTGTTACCCTGCCACTCTACATCTATTATTCAGGGTTTTGGAGGTGTGTGGGGGGGGGGGGGGGGG